TCTCAGCCAAATAGCATTCAGTCTCATTTCCCTGGCTCCCTAAATTTAGCTTGAGGAGCTGTCCGTGGAGAAAAAAACAGTTAGACTTCATAATAAAGAAAACACTAATTTCTTTTGGCTGACAACTCCTACAAGGTTTTTTTCAGCCAAATAAAAGAATAGCTGTGAAATATAAGCCTTTGTGCTGATATCAAAGCATCAGTCCAATCCTCAGCTGTCCCTGCTAAACAGTCTGTTTGGAGTGTAGGTGGGTGTTACAGACTATAGACAGTGACAATAAAGCTGGTGGTGTCCGGACTGCAGCATGTGTTGTCCTAAGATGTTGACAGGTGTTGGATGTAGACCCCAGAATGCTAGGCTGGATATCTGGGAAGATGTGCCATTCCTGACCTCCAGTTGTCTGCTGGCTCTGCAGCGAAGCAGTGAAGTCTAATCCCTGGCCATTGCAGTTCATGTAATCTGGTTCTCCCCAGCAACTTGTTGCAGAGCTATCTGGTTGGCTGCAGATGTTTTGGTTGGTGTAGCACAACTGAAGCCAGAATGTGTGTCTGTGGTGGAGAGGGCATCACCAGGTAGAGTCTAGAGTAGGACCAGCCTGCATTGGGAAGCCCAGCCATGTGGTATGGCTGACAGGGCAAGAGGCCTCACCAGGGAGCCCAGAAGTGTGGGAGCTGCATGGACAGATGACAAGTAATGAGGAAAATGTAATTATTTGCCTTTGGTACCTATAAATAGGCACAGCACAAAGGTCCCACTGTCTAGACTAAAGCTTCTGAACTTTGATTGTTGTCTGTGCAAGGAAACTCATTGGCCTGAGCATTTGTCTATTCCACTTGTGTGTGACAAATGCTGTTTGAGGTAGGTGTATAACGTAGATTGAGGAGGCTGTAGTACAAAGCTATACTGTCAGGCTTGAAAGGACTTTCCTTTCTTCTTTGCTTCTCTGGTACAATGCCAAAAAAAAAAAAAAAAAGAAAAAAAAGAAAAAAAAAAAGTGTTTCTGTAATTCTTGAAAGGACAGATCTTTTGTCTGCAACTCATCTTCCATCTGCATCTGTCTTGTCCTTGCTACTTGCTTGTATGACTTCACCCAAGACCTGGAAAAAGCCACTGAGAGGGGGAGGATTTTGTCTCTGCACTGCTGAGGAAGATAAGGCTGTCCCATGATCTACAGCACTGTTAGTGAGGTTCCTTATTAATCTCAGAGGTTTACAGAATAAAGTAGACTGTAGTGACAATTTGCATAAATTCTGGCAATTTTTTCTGTGGGCACTGTCTGAAGCTTTTATAGTACTCAGTATTGTAGCGACAATCCTGATGTGTTTTATCGCTTCATAGGAATGTGGAAACGATTCTTGGAAAATAGCCTCGAAGTTGATTGCATAAGGGACATGCTAGGAATACTTTTTGTCTCTAGTTAGTGTGGATGTGTGGCTATTTTTGTGCAGTATGAGATACCTCGTACTGGAAAAAGGATCATTCTGAGGTCTGACATACATTTAAAAAAATACGGCCTTACAAAATCTGTCAGTGGTTAATACCATTAACATGTTGCTGTAATATATGACCTATATTTTAGAGCTCTGCTCCAAAAGCAGCATTTGCTTATTGGTACATCACTTTATGGATACTTATAAAGAGTTACTTTTGTTCTTGTTCTCAGTGGAGCAAGAAGGATCACATTTAAAGGAATGTAGATGGGCACAGGTGTCCTAACACTTTTGAAATGTAGTGGGGTTTTTGGTTTGTTTTAATTATGTTGACCTAGTGTTACCTGTGTTGTATGAATAGGTTTGAGCTCTGCTGCACAGGTCGATTGGTGTTGCCTGGGCATTGGAGGGGGGGCATGCAGGGAGGACAGCAATGCAGCCTGCATTCTGTAGAGGACGTGCTTCTGGGACCTCCCAGTAGCTGTTATCTGCTGCCAGTGTAAGAGGATGATTATATCAAACAGTACTGTTTGAAAGGGAGCAGGCTTACAGCTTGACATTTTGAGAAAACCCTGATTGTATTAATGAAATTCAATAAAGCAGTTTCCACACATTCAGTTGTAAAGCATGTCAGAGTTTATGTCTGTAATAGCTCCAGCCTATGCAAGATAACGTGAATAGCTTCTGTCTTGGGTATCTTTCCCTGGGCTAGATATTGCAATAAGGTTTTCATGCACAAACTTATGTTTACATAATGCTATACAAGTTTTTGTGAGAGTACCTAGAACTATCAGGTTAAGATCTGTGCACTTTTATTTTCCTGGAAGAAATGCCTTCAATCATTAATCTAAGTCAGTTTTATATCAGAAAGTATATCAAAGTGTATGGGAGAAGACTTGGAGAAAGGAAAAAAAGGAAGCATTTAATTAAGGGGGAAAGAAGTGTCTGTGAACAAGTCATAAGATTCTTTTGCTGTGATGGGCTTGTGCAGTTTGGTTTAAGGACTTTCTGACTAGATTTCTTCTTAGCGTTCTACTTTTGCACAGATAAGTTAAAGAATCATGAAATAGTTTTGATGAAATAGTTTTGGGGTGCTGGTTGTTCCAACAAATGATTTGAACAGTGCTTATTCCAAGTACATATTTCTTAGTCTTAGAAGTAAGTTATTGTCTAATTTGGAACATGGGCTAATTTTTCATAAATGGGTATTTACTTTTTCTTTCTGGAATTGGTGTCTTTGAAGGAGTTTCTACAGGTCTTTCAGAAAAGCTGAGTAGCTTTCATCGCCAAATATTTTTAGACTAAACAGGACAGTAATTTTACACTCCAGTGTACGAAGGACCCTAGCAAAGTCCCCATACCAGTTTATAAATAGGAATATACTGTTACTTTTACTGGACTGAGTCCTGAATGAAGTTATCTTTATCTGTAGATTTTATTTTAAATCAGCTCTTCATTAGGAAAAAAGCTTCCCCCCCCAATTGGATTTTGATATTATAATGATGAAAAAATAATTCAACTCTTTCCAGCTGGCACTGTATTTTATTACTTTAGCCTTTTTTAATGAAGGGGCAGGGGGGTGGGGTGGGGTGGTGGTGGTGGTGGTGATGGTGTGACAGATCCCAAAGCACAGGAATGATAATTTTAGGTGAATGGATATTAAAAGTTACCTGGATTGTCACAAAGAGAAGTTTGGGTTGGTTTTTTTTGAGGTTGTGGGTGATCTTGTGATGCAAACAAGTGTTTAGAAAAAAAGAAGGAAATATGGAAACACAAATAGTGAAGTGCTACTGGGTGTGGGCCTTCCATAAGTGTAAAAGCTTTGTTGTGTAAAGAACATGTAGCTGAAATGATGCTGAGAGAGTTTGAGGAGTTTGCTCAGCACCATGCTGTTTAGGACCTTGTCTCCTCTCCTCCAGCCTGTGCAGTTCAGGATAACTTTATTGACTTTGGAGTCTAGATTCTAATTCTACAGAACAAGAGTGGCTCAATTCTATTAGGTACTGGAAAGCAACAATCTCTTTGACTCCAATTTATTTAAGTGCATCTGACATAATGCTTTAAAAATCTATTAGAAAAAAAAAATAATTAAAAGCAGCAGCTGTGGGATTTCTTTATGGTATTGATGTATTAAGTGTATAATACTGTTGAAGCAAATGGCAAGATACTGGAGAGTGCTGAGAACATGCACAAGGAATTTGTAATATTGTCCAGGCTAGCTTTAATATTTTTACTTGTAAGGAAGGTAACACAGCTTACATCTAAAAATTGCCTGAACTGTTACATAGTTTTACATGAATGAATGTTTCTTTTGAAGTTTGACAGCTCCATACTTAGAAATGTATGGGTCATGAAGTGTATGATTTTCATTTATTATTCTGCTGTCCAAAGTTTCATCCATGGGGAACAGAAACAGTGCTGTGCGACCAAGTGCATGCTGTAAAGAGCACTAACAAAAGTGGGAATAAAAACTTTGAGCCACAATCAGGAAATATCTCAAAAGAATAAGCCTTCTGAACAGAACATTTGGAAAGTAGGACAGGTACACATAAATGTTGTAGCAATAGAAGAAACAAGTTCAGTTATCTCTACCTGAATCAATAGAGAAAGTCAGTTCTACAGAAATAATTCTGTACAAAAAGAGCTGGTTTAGCCAGGAGCAATACCCGTCTAATACTGATTTAGTCCATCTACATTTTGTGTCCATCTCTCTGACTGTTTAAGGTGCTTTTAAATTAAATTTTTTTTTTTTTTTTTTTTTTTTTTTTTTATCACTGTCACAAAGCTACTGAAGTGTTTAGCTTCACTTTAATTATTTAATTGACTAGGAAGGTAATTACTCTGGCTGCTCAGTTGTCATACTCCACTTAGAGACAGATTATTTTGCCTTTAAACACATTGAGTAATACTGGGATTAGTTCTACTGATGTCATGAGGTCTAATTGTGGAGTAAGTTACCCTCATGTGAATGAAGGTGGAAGCCTGAACACTTTGATCCAGTTGCCTGATACCTTTGAATGATCTGGAGAATAATGGCAATTAAAATGTCAAAGGTGTATTTTGAATCCAGTATGAATGTCAGTCCTTTCACATGGAACAATTGTAGCTAAGGGCTTACACTCCAGCTTTACCTAGGCTGAGTCATAAAGAAACCTATTCAAAGGCTGGGCCACTTAAATACAGCTCTAGTCTTTTCAGTAGTGCTTGACAAAGTAGAATAAATATGCTAGAGAATGATGAATTTTAATTCAATTCGAAATTCATCAGAACTCAAAATTTTCCAAAGCTTTGCGTTAATTTCTTGTTGCCATTCTCATAATTTTCTAGTGTTCTTTAAACAAACCTTAATTTTCAGGTGACTCTAGGTGTTAAGTATTGTTTGAAATAGGACACACAAGAATTTCAGGTCACCTATAGTACTGCATTTATCATAGAACAACACTTCTGTATTTAAATGATCTTAAATTATTTTTCTAATTCTATCACATACATCTGCAATTCCTGTATGAGAAAAAATTAATCACATATTAGAGGTTGTACCTATCTATAGTTAACAAGAGCTTTACTTACCCATAAAAACTGTAGCTCTCCAGAATGGGGACAATAAAGAATAGCTGAACTGTGCTGTGAGCCTTTGTCCTTTACAGCTAGCAAGCTGTGAATAAGAGGGAATATTTTATACCTTTCAAGCTGATGATCAGCCCCCACAGCATGCTCACTCTCTTTTCCCCTTCTGTCTTTTTCTGTGACCCTGCTCTTCAAATGCATCTAATACTCCATAATTACTTAATCCTCTACTGCTGCTTGTGTTTCCAGTTCTTAGAGGTCATTAACAGAAATGGAAACACAGTAATTATCATGCTGGGAGAGAACTTTTAGATCTTCAAAATAATTTATATTTAATTTCTCTCTGATTTCTTTCAGAAGAGTGATTACTGAATCTACTAGATCCAGTACCTGAATCTACTGGACACATTTCCAAGAGAGCCCAGTTCTGTTATTGGCATCTAAGTACACGAGTGAGGTTTAGAAAGTGTTTAGCTCACAGAAGTTACTTCTAAGGTCTAGCCAAAATATATCAATGCCTGAATCATACCTGGTGGGTGCTAAGTGCTTGAGAAAGCCTGATCCAAACTCATCTTATTTTGCTTTGCACTCACCTTTCAAGTTTGTGTGGCTGAAACATAATGGGAGTATTCTTTTCTCTCCCATATAGGTAATGCTAGAGCCTGAAGCTGCCATGTCTGGCATACTCTTTTCGATCCAGTAGAATGGGTTTTTTTAAAAATATTCTCCTTTTTTTTTTTAAATTTATTTTTTATGGAAAAAAATTGCTGTTTTTCAAGCAATAGTTTCAAAAATGTAATTTTTTTCTGTTGTGTTTTTCAGCCCACTTTATTAGAGAGTTGAACCTCTAACAAATAAGAGCCAGTTTTGGGATGGCTTATGATGTGCGTGCTGTATGCTATTCAGGATGTGTTACAACCCCCTAGCATTGCTGCAGAGTGAGCTAGAGGAAGCACTATCTGCCACTTAATACTATTTAAAGATTGTTCCAATAAGCAGATTGAGCTTTCCGGTGTGGTGCTGCCTGGCAGTGGCTGTGTATTGCGGTGTTTGTGGTAATAGCAGTGGGCTCCAAGTCTGTAGAGTTCTAAAACTTTGTTGTACCATGGAGCTATAATCGCTGTGGTGATTATAACACTGGAGGGAATTTAAATCGTTGACTCTTAAAGATAAAAAGTGATCCAATAATGAGTTTGAAGCCTGAGGATCCTGTTAAGGAGGTTAGGATGTTTTACTGACACTCTTGCTAGATAATTAAAAAGCTGGTCCCTTTGGCTGGGCTTATGGAGAGGGAGGGTGAGCTGAATGCTTTCTGGAATTTTTTTTAATTGTAGTGACATGTTTTGTTAAGTTGCAAATGAATTGGAAAATAAAAGTCCTAAGGTAAAGATTGCTATGTTACACCTTGTAATGGGGAAAATCACTTGTGTGTATCAGTTGTTTGCATTGTCACGCTCAGAAAAAATGTGTTCTGTAGACATTGGGGAAACACAGCTGTCGCAGTAGAGACGGTCAAGCGACAATCAATAATCAAGTTAGAAGCAAAAGAAGTGGAAGTTTTATTGTTTTCTACATACTTTATATATTTTTTACAGCTACCGCAAGCTCTAACATAATTGGCTAAACCCATAGCAACAGTGCACCCATAGCAACGGTACATGATTGGATAGCTTTCTTAAAGTTTTACTTCTGAACATAATTCACACGGTTCCTTATCTGTGCTCAACAGTTTCATGTTTCTTGCAGCAAATGTTCGCTGTCCTTGCTCCTTATCTGTGGTATGCCCTCCTGCATGCAGGCTTCTCACGGGTACGGGATAATCTGGCCAAGGTCAAATTCCATCTGCTCTGCCAGGCGTTCAGCAGACCCGCTGCCTACCCTGACACACAGCATGTATGTTTGACTGCTTAATAGGGGCCAAGATCAGTCATGGATCAAACTGCATGTCACAATGCTGAGACCCTCCTGCCAGTTCTGGGATTAACAAGATGAACTGATTCTTGAGAAATTGGTTATCAAAGGTACTGCTCTTCATTGAGGTTAGAGTGCATACAGAGTCTTAAACAGGATTGCCACATGCTGTCAGCATGGGCAGAGGTGGTGATGTTTCTGAAGTGCAAGCAAGAGGGATGAATGTTGGCAATGTATGGGCAGACATGGTAAACTGTCAAGCCCCAAAAGATACAAACTATAAAGTACAGAGGGGACGAGTAAGAGGTGTTTCTGCAGTATTAGGTATGCAAGAAATGTTCAACCTCCACAGGGGCCAGTTCCAGTGTCTTTTGAAGTCAATGGGAATTTTTTCAAAGGAACACTGGATCAGGCTCATAGATATGTAGAAAATGGTAATGAAAAAAACCAACCCAGCTTTCCTTTATAAAAGACTGAAGACAACAAAGGAAACAAAATGAAGTATACAGTAAGTGGGTGAAGACAACAAATCACATAAGATAAACTCATCTTCAGTGTCATTCATCATCTTGCTTCAGTGAATACTAATGGGAAAACCAGAGGTTCATAATACTGCACAAAGCACTGACAAGCAGCCAGGTATGGAAATCCTGTGCCAAATGAATTGTGATTTTTATATGCAGTCTAAACAGTTACAAAGATTATGGCAAAAATAAGACAGTATGGGAATCCAAATTTATAGAACAGCACTGTCAAGCTAAAATGCTTTCTGTTTAAATATAATCCTGCAAACCTCTGTGAGATGCTTTGCAGAAGGGTCTTCGCAACATCAGGTGCTGATTATGCTAGGTACTGTACAAATGAACAGTGAGCAGTTTTTGTGCTGATAAAGTTCAGAGCCAAACTGAAAAATCTTATCATAGTATAGAATGGTTTGGGCTGGAAGGGACCTTAAAGACCATCTAGTCCCAACCCTCCTGCCATGGGTGGGGACACCTTCCACTAGAGCAGGTTGCTCAAAGCTCTGGCCAACCTGGCCTTGAACACTTCCAGGGAGGGGGCAGCCACAGCTTCTCTGGGCAACCTATGCCAGTGTCTCACCACCCTCACAGTGAGGAATTTCTTCCTTATTCTACCCTCTTTCACTTTAAAACTGTTTCCACTCATCCTATCCCTACACTTCCTGATAAAGAGTCCCTCCCCACCTTTCTTGTAGCCCTTCTTAAGGATTGGAAGTCACTACCTGGAGCCTTCTCTTCAGAAAACACCTTGTCAGTAACCTGGATGAGAGTCAGTGGCAGAGGTGGTGAGAGGACCCAGTATTGTCCCTCAGGTGAGGGAGGCCCAAGCTCTGCTCTGGTGAAGCATTAGTCAGTGCTGCCGAGAGGGATGATGTGATTGGGTCTGAGACAGATCATGTGCTTATACAGCTTCTGAAATAAAGTTTGGTCATCAGGGACTCTGCCTGGGGAACCTGAGGTATGTTTATGCCTCCTCTTCTAGGAACATCCCAGGACTGACAGAGAAAATATTTTCTCTGCAGAGGCCAACAAGAAAATTTCTTTTGCTGAAAGGAAGTTATCTAGAATAAATGAATGAGTGTTTGTTTCTTTCTTAGTTGATGGATTGCTTTAAATTAAGTATTCTGCATTGTGATGTATCTCTCATTTGAAGGTTAATTTACTGGTTTATTTTTTTACAAGGTGGAAATGTGGTGGATGGGGTTTTTTTGTTTGTGGTTTGGTTTTGTTTTTTTTTTTGATTGTGGCTTCAAGTAGACTGGCCTCTTCTCGGAAAAAAAGTGGACAGTGAATACCTGTGTTACTCTGAGCAGTAAAATACCAGGAAGACTTATTGTAAATGTCTCTTTACAATGGGGAACCTACCCTGCTTCCATATATGTTATTTTTCTTCGCTGCCCTTGAATGCTAGTGAAAGGATATTTTAGTCTGGTTCACAAGTCTAGTAGATGCAGTTATTTTAGGAAAACTAAAATATTTTTAGAAGAGGAACTATCAGCTTATTTGCTCAGCATGAAATTTCTGTAACTATGATGGAAGTAAACCTAACAGAACAGAAGGGAAACTGGAGGAGTTAGAGCCAGAGGGTAAGCACATTGGAGAGTAGAGCTAGGACCTGTGGTGATGCTTCAGCAAACTTTTTCTGGGAAAGAATTGGAAATAAGCTGATCTACAGCATCCCATTAAGATCCACAGCAAGCCCCATTCCTTTCATGGGGGCATATCATCACACAGAGTAGTGCGCAACATCACAGGGCTGTGAGAGATGGGGCTGCAGTTCTCCCTGTGTGCTCCCCCCCAACCGAGCAGACCTTTTGGATGAAGGGAGAGACAGAACTGAAAACTAATGAGATGGTGGTAATTGCTTCTCAAACACCAACTGCCCCTGAAGAGGACTTGATTGATTTAGGGTCAGGAAACTGGATGTGCCATCCCCAATAAGTGAGCTAGGGGTTGTTGGGTGGGTCCACTTAAGGAGGCTCACAGAGAATACTAAAGGAGACTTGTTGATTACTTTTCTGTTCGGCCCCCTTAAAACTCCAGTTACATTTCTAGTAGATATGGGTGCTCAGGTCTCAGAACTCCATACTGATGTTGCCAAGCGGAATGGCATAATTGCTGGCAAAAAGCAGATTTGGGTTACAGATGTTTTCGGGGACTCTAAGCCACAGCCAACTGCTCGCATGAAATGCTGGTTACCTGGGAATGAAACTGCAACAGAAACTATTATGATTCTGGGAAATTTTCCCACAAATATCCTGGGACTTGACCTATTGAAGGGACAAGCCTGGGTAGATTCAAAAGGAAGAAAATGGAAATTTGGGTCCCCAACTGCCTCTATAAGAGTTTTACAGCAAGTGCCTGTGCTTCCTCCTTCTAAAATTGTTAATGTGAAACCTTACGCCTTACCATTGTGTGCCAGGGAGAAGATCACTCTGGTAACCACAGAGCTGCAGGAACAAGGGATAATCATTCCAAGTCACTCACCCTATAATTTCCCAGTGTGGCCAGTCCATAAATGTAAGGGAAAGTGGCGACTGACAATTGACTATTGGCAATTATATGCCAATACAGGTCCTCTAACAGCTGCAGTACCTAACATAGCTAAACTGATTGGAATACAGGATGCAGAAAGATACCACTTTGCCTTTATATGGGAAGGTGTGCAATTTACTTCTATATGTCTCCCCCAGGGATACTGCCATTCACTGACTATTGTTCATTATACACTAGTGCAGGAGCTTGCTCAAATCCCTCCTAGGGAAGGGG